GAGGCCTGCTCCTGAGCCGCCTTTTAAGGCTGCCAGGACGGACCCGCGAGGCGATCGTAACGGAGAGACGCGCTTGGCTGCTGGCGAAGGTCCGCGCGTTCACTACCAGGATCAGGAAGGCGAGCCAGCCTGAGCCCCAGCCGTCTCCGCCAGACCTGGCGCTGGCTGGGGCGGGCGCAGGCGCCGGCTCCGCGCCGGCAGGCGCAGGCGGGCAAGCCGCGCGCGGGTGCGCGTGGCCAAGGGGGCCCCGCGGGCAAGCCAGGCGCTGCGGGCAGGCAGGGCGCGCAGGACACTTCGTCGATCAGCCCGCTGGTCTGAGAGACAGTCCCGATGATCCAATCGGCGCGCCGCCCCCCACTCGGCCAGGCCGCGAAGGTCGGGGGATGCGGTCGCCCGGCGCTCGCGCCGGTAACAATTCTAGCGCAGTCGGTCGCGGGCGCGACGGCGCGCGCGGCCGCCGCTCCCCAGGCGCCCTCAGAAAATATTCACATGCGCGCATTGCCGCATATATTCATATATGCACAAAGAGCAACATGTACGCATGTCTGTATGTGTGTATGTATGTATGTATGTATGTATGTATGTATGTATGTATGTATGTATGTACGTACGTACGTATGTATGTATGTATGTATGTGTGTGTGTGTGTGTGTATATATATATATATATATATATATATATATATATATATATAGGTCGCGCCCGCGCAGATAGAGCGCGCTGGCGTGGCCGGCCCCGCCCCGCGCCCCCCCCCCCCCCCCCAAGCAGCCTCGAGCCCAGGTGGCTCAGCATCCGCAGGTGCGCACTGCGCGCTGGAAGCCCAGGCCTCAGGCCCTCGTCGACGATCAAGAATGGCTTCGGCGTGGGGTTCGGCCAGATTCCAGAGCGCCGTGGCCGCGTGTGCCTCGCGCGGCGCCCGCTCCGCCGCCTCGTCGGTGACAAACCGAACCAATGTCTCCGATTGGGCGCTGTTGCGTACAGCCCCTGCGCCCCGCTTGTCTGTCATTGCTGTGGCCCGCTCGTTGGCGTGCTCGCTCCTGGTTTTCGGCTGGAACTTCGCCGCGTCAGGCAGCAGGCCGAAGGCCCTGTCTACTCCCGCGGCTTTTCTCAGTCGGCTAGCGATTCTGACCGTCATCTGTCATGGCTATGTGCCGCTCCCCGCTCCCTCCGATTTTCTCGATGACCTGGCGTAGCTCCTCCACGGCACCTTTGGGGAGTTATTTGGAAGCTGGCGCGTCCGTTTGCTCGTCTCTCTTCGCCTCGCTCTCGGCCGTGGCGTGACGGCCCAATCATAGCTCTCGCTGGTGATCCTCCTCAGCTGCTGCCTCCCTCGTCGCCTCCAGCGTGGCGATGAGGTCCTGCCTTCGCGTGATTCCTGGTCCAATTCTTGCCTTGGCGGCCCGTTGCTCCATCGTGTTCTGAGCCCGCTCTCCACAGGCGCGAGCCGCCGTGTCGCGCCTCGGCTTGTCCTTCGCGAGTCAGCCGTATGCCTCCTGCTTATAGGCCCCGCTGATGTGCGCCACGAGCGCCTCCTTCGAAGTGGCCGGCGTCGCCGCTCCCGGGCATTTCAATTTCCCCATTGTCATCCTAGGGGCGTCGCCGAGGGTAACTCTCCGTTTCTCCAGCTGCATGGCGGTGGTCTGCGCGATCCAGCCGGTGGGCAGGCCCCCCCGGGCCCGCGGTGGAGCTGCCTGGGTCGTTCAGCGCGCGGCCCAGTGCCCTCCCGCCGATGTAACTCCGCCAGCCACGAGGGTAACGTTCTTCACCGCCTCGCAGTGTCGGCCTCCGCCTCCACCGTGAACTTGGCCGCGCCCATGGCAAAGGTGAAGCCGTCGCTGCGCCCGCGGTGGCTCCGCCGAGCCTCGGGGTCGATCCTGAACGCCGTTGCATAGCGCTGCTCCGCCGCGTTTGCCGAGCGCCCATATCCATCGCCAGGCGTGGCGGCCGCGTCGCGCCGAACTGGCGCGCGATCGCATCCTTGACGCGCGTCCGTGGTCCGCCGCGACTTGCGATCCTGGCGCGGCGCGATGTCGACGTTCTACTGCCGCAACAACTCCCTCTCGTTCGCCGTGATGTCGGAGGCCTCCGAGCTGCTTATCTCTGTCTCTGCGATCAACGCGCCCTCGCCATCTTTCTCGTTGCGGTCGCCCTGGTCATCGCTGGGCTGCGACTCGTAGTCGCTGTCGAGGTCGATCAGGTCAAAGGTTCTGCGCTCCCCAAATGACTTCTGGCACGGCGCGTTGAACTTTGTTTCGATGCCAGCCGTGCAATCTGCGCCTCAAGGGGGCTGCCTTGGTTGCGTCATTCGCATTATCGGCAACCGCCGATGCACAATCTGGTGGTTCCAATTGAGAAGTCTCGTGTTGCTACTTCTTCCACGTCGCTTCTTGGCCGGGTAAGGAAAACGGCTTCGGCAGGTGGAGGTGTCGTTGGACTGCGGCCACCGCGTCGCCTCGTAAGTGTAGCCGAGCTGCGTCATGGCACCCTGGGCCCCTTCCCCCCCCCCCCCCCCCCCCATCTTCTATGACCCTCTCCAGCATCGTGACGGGTAGACTCTCAGCACGCCGCGTAGTCTGATGACATCCGAACTGGGTTCCTCGTGCACGCGCGCGGGTCTCCTCATGGCGCTCGCGCCGCTGCGCGTGGAACTCCGAGCCGCCCTGCTGCCCAGAACTCCCCCAGCTCCGCGTTCCAGTCCCCCGCTGCTGCCCATGGTCCGCGGACCCCCCTTACTGCGGACACGATCCGTGCCGTCTTCTTCTGGCTCTCGCCCCTCGAGCCCGCCGACGCCGTGAGGTTGACGCCCGCAGCGAGTGCTGACTGCCCTGTCCACCGCCGCTTGAGCGCCACCGCGTCCTTGATTCCACTGGCCCTGCCGCCCACTGCTCTCCGAGCTGTCTGGGACCGCCCGCCCGCTCTTTCTTGGCCGCCAACTGAGTCAGGGACGTCGCTGCGCAGTGCGCCCGTGCTGCCATGACGATGCCTTCTCCGTGCTCGCTCTTCATCTATTTCCCTGTTGGCGTCGCTGCAGCCTTCCAACCTCTGTTGTCGAGGCGGCTCAGGGTATCGTTGGTGCCTGTGCTGTTCACGTGTCCACGTGCACCTCAGGAGAGATGACGATGCCATCGCTCAGCTTGTCCATTTCCTTCGTCTGTCTAGGAACCCTAGTAAAGAGGTTTTGCACGTGCACCGTGTGCATCGTCAGCGTGCTACCCTGGTGACCCACGCTGTCTGGTCTTGCCTCTATCCTTTTTCGTCCTTGCCCTCTTGACTTCTTCGGCCAACTTCCGCTTCGTCTTCTACTTCTTAGTTGCGGGTTGGCTTGGTTGTTCGGCTGCATCGGCTGCAGGTGATGCAGCACCTGCAGCAGCACAGGCTGCTGCAGCAGCTGGCGCTCCTGATGGTGCCGCTGCTGGTTGCAACGCCCCTGCGTCATCGCTTTCTGCTGCCTCAACCTTGCGCTTCTTCTTGGACCCGTCGAAACGACTCTGCTCGCGCTGCTCCTGTTCACGTGGCTCCTCGGATGCCGCTGCGGCCGCCGTCTTGGAGAAAGGGGAACACCGCGCCGTCGCCTCGCGCCGAAGGCGCAGGCATGCTCAGCTCGATCAACACAACATGCTCCAACCCACCATGAGGTCCTACCAGAGGTCGCCGTGGCCGCTCTGGTCGTCGGGTGAAGAACCGTCTCCCGTGCTGTTATCCAAAGAAGCGGCCGCCGGGCAGCACCTCTGACAGGCAGACCGACACACACGTCCCCAGGAGGGGCAAGGACGCGCTGCTGCATCCAGCGCTGCACGACCGATGCTACGACTGGCGCCAGCGCGCGGGATACCATTGCGAGCGCGCAACCCCTTGGCCTCCTCCACGAACGCGGGCGCGTCTTCTCTGTGGCTCACGGCGTCGTGTTTGGGGCCACCTCTAATGGGCACGGCCGCGACCGCCATGGCCAACAACAGCGGATGTAGGCACACACTGCTGCGGCGCCCCACGCTGCTGGAGCGAGGCCGCTGCCGACGCCAGCGCGCGTGAGATCACGGCGAACTCATACAAGTATGCCTCCACCGCGATGGAGGGCGAGGATGGCGGCGGAGGGTTCGACACTCAACAATACCACTACTGGAGCCAAGGGGCGATCCGCACGGCAGCCTGCGCCACGGAGATCCCTGGCGGACTCCAGCAGCTAAGCGCCAGCGGCAACACAGGAAGCCGCCACGCCTCTGGGGGCACACGCTTTTTTTGCCAGTGGGCATGAAACACAATCCTGAGGGCAACGGGTCCTGGACCCCAAAGCCTTCCCCCGCGTGCAGCTTTTCGTCCTGAGTCGTTGTCTGAGCCCCTGTGCGCACGGAGGGCCCAAAGAGGCCAACCATCGAGACACATCTAAGGGCCCGCTTCCCCTCAGGACCCGCTTCCTTGGCGAGCCAAGTCGGTGGGCCAGGGCGCCCCCGACGCGGAAGCGGGCGCGTCCGAAGGAGAGCTCAGCAAGCCGCCATTTCCACGGCGTGCCGCTGGGTCCCGCGGGCGGCCGAGCGCCGACGATGAAGACGGCAGCACGCGAACGTGGGGCCGCCTCCGCGAACGGCGCGGGCGCGACCACGCTGGGCGCAGGGGGGAAGCGGCTATATCCGCGAGGCAGGCAACCCACGAGCCCTTTGAGCCCACCCCCCGTGATGATGTGGAGGATGAGTATGGGGAGGAGGGGAGGGAAGAGGGAGGAGTATGAGGAGCATGGCAGCTATGGGAGAGGAGGAGGCGGGTGATGATGATGCTGATGATGATGATGCTAATGATGATGATGCTGATGATGATGATGCTGATGCTGATGATGATGATGATGATGATGATGATGATGATGATGATGATGATGATGATGATGATGATGATGATGATGGCGATGATGATTGTGATGATGAGGGTTCTGATGATGATGCGATGATGACGAGAAAGGCGAGGACCAGGATGAAGCAGGGCAAGCAGATCATTGCTGCGCCTCCTCCCGCGGTCCTGGTCGGCCCTCTCGGGGTTCGTGCCGACCTCCAGGCCCTCCACCCACTCGCGATCGGGGCCCGGAAGGTCCGACTTCGCAAGCCTGCGCCAGCCCTCCTGGCGCGGAACAGGAAGTATCATTATCATGGGTGCGGTGTGATGATAATGGTGATGATGATGATGATGATGAAGAAGAAGAGGATGATGATGATGGTGGTGATCGTGGTAATGATGAAACTGATGATGGTGATGATGACGGTGCTTTGGTGATGAGGTGATGGCGATGATTATAATGATGCTGTTGTTGC